CAGCGGTTAGTGAGGTAAATAAAAGTTTGTGTTAAAATAAATGTCAGGTTTCCATAACGGCTTTGAAAGAACCAGCAAAATGCAGGACAAATTGATAACATTAACAAGCGCTAATATTTAGTCTTGGATTGCTCAAAAGCCCATTTTAGTTGTACGACAGTCATGTTTACGCATCAAATGTATCAGGAAAAGTGGAGGATTTGCTGTTGTAAGCTAGTTTATACACATTTTAACCAAAAATAGAAAATGTGCCAAAGATTGACAGAAGATTTGAGTTTGACATTATGACAAAAAGTGAAATGATCAAAATTACATTATGGTTTTTGCAACTCATTTATTACAAATGTATAACTTTAGCAGTTTAACTTCACAGCTGAATACAATTTCGGGAAATATTTAATATAATGGCAGATATCCTGTCATAACATCAGCCTGAACAGGTCTAACTTATTTTGATGGCCCGACACACAATATTAAGAGTTAGTGAAAATAATTAGGTTTCCAATGGCAGCTGTTGTCATTTGAAATATGAAATTAGAGACTATCTGAAATGAGCTGATCCACCCATGTAAACAGTGATTTTCTGATACAGAAAAATACTAAGTGGACAAAGCATATTGATCTTTAACAACACTATCACCAGCCTGCTTTGATACATTCTCCTGTGGGAACATATATTCTATAACAAAATAAATCTATACTTGTCTTCCTGGTGATCACGATCATCCCACTACTTTTTATCCAACTCAAAGAACTGCATGTAGGTTTAGCTCTAATATACTGTCAGCTCAAATACTCTAAAGGCTCTGCCTGAGAAGGGCATTAGTTTGAAGCATAGAAAAAAAAAAACAACTCTATACCAGTTTAAGTAATTTTTAAACAAAGTGTACGTTTCTATTACTATCTTTAAAAGTAGTTTTTTTTTTTTTTTGTATCTTAGCATTGTGACACAAAATAACCTCTTGGCTATTTACACAGGAAAAGATACTTTCCAAGCAGTAAAACAAGCTTATGTTGTGAGCTGTGACACAATAGAATGAAAGAATTGCATAGCAGGTCAGAATAGAACTAATAGGAGCTGATCTTCTTTTGGTATGGTGCACTTTGATTTATGACTTTGCACATTTTAATATATTTACACGAATCATGTCCATTCATAGTTTCACCTGCCCACAGTAAAAAATCAAGTTTACTTCCACACTGTAATGTTCAACAGGAAGAAGACATCTTGTCCTCTGCTCTTCTCATAAAAGTCCATAGGAGTCTTTAAAAAAAAAAAAAAAAAAAAGCTTAAAAAGTGCCATTTTGCTACATTTATCAACTGATCCATGGTCTGCTACTGAACTTGAAACACAAGCTCATGTGAGACAGCCCCCAGCGTCACAGATTCCTGATTGTATGAGTTTTGGTCACATGGACAATCACACACACACACAGATGACTTGGAAGGGAAAAAAGTGGAAAAACAGCGTTGTGGCCGGTGGGTACAGTTCATCTGCTGCGATGAGACATTCCAGCTCGTAAAGCTTTGAAAAAGTACAAAGCACCTCTGAGAGAAGGCCTCATGCCCTCTGCTCAGAGAGAGTTCAGCAGCTTCCGCTTCATTCTGTGCTCCCACAGAAAGCAAGAGAGAAATAAATCTATAGTCAGACTTGGCTCAGGCAAAGTCACTGAAATGTTTCAGGCTTTATTGCATCTTTTCCTCGTTTCAATCAGGGAGTCCAAGGACGTGTATTGCCATCGCCTGTGAGGCCTTTTCTTTGTGTCCACGTGGAAACATTCGGGTCCTCACCGTCTCTGCTGGGCATAAACGGGGTATGCTAGCGTCACATTCAGAGAGTCATTGTGCTGGACCAAAGACGTGTGCTGGTAGTGAAGTACGAGTTCTTTTAATGAGCTGTACAGGTTGTAGGGCTCAGCGAAGCCATAACCTGAGGGGGTCCTGTTGATGACGCAGTGTTTCACCTCGCCGTCCACACTGTAAAGAGAGAAGAGAGGTCAGTCTGTGTCTGCAGGCAGCTGATTTCTGGTCCCTCACTTCTAACTGACTAAACCTCTTGCTGTTCTTGATCAACCAGTAAAGGACAGGTTCATTATGAGTCTGTCTTTAAACAACAGTCTGGTGCCCACATGTATGTTGATATAATTGTTTCTCCCGTTTCTATCAGATATTAAAAATCTGGTTTTTCCTCATGGTGTAAAACAGTTGATCTAAGCTAATATGAAGTTTCAGAGGTGGGTGGGAACATACTGGGTGGTGGACTTTGCCCCCCCCCCCCCCACTTTGAACAGCCAGTTAATTAAAAGCTCTTTCAATATACTTATGGTTGTAGTTTCAAGACAGACTTGGAGAAGAAAGTGAACCTGTCCTTTGACAGCTGTTTAGACAAAGTAGTGATACATACACAACACTGCAGGCGTAGCAGCCTGCTTTGCTGCTCTCTCGAACCAGGAATGTTCCGTCTCTTTTGCCCTGGAGTAGACCCTCAGCCTGTAGTCGTTTGATGTTGCCCAGTTTCCAGGACCGCTCATCGTGATGAGGAAGGTCTTCATCATCGTCAACCATAGAAAATTGACTAGAACAACAATAGCAGTGTTAGGTTGTGAGGCATCTGCATATTATGTGGGTCGATTTGTTAAAAGAGAACAGGTACTCACTCTTCTGTGTTCTCGTTCTTGAGGCCCAGCCACTCGTTGAGTTTCTTCTGTCTTACTCCTTTCTGGGTCAACCACCTATGAGAGGGAAAACCCATGAACATGAGAAACCAGGGCAGATGCCATGTGACTTTCTCTGGAGGGAAGTGTACTCTAGGTTTCATAATAAGTAGCTGAGGCACCGCTCGAGGGCTGTACTTACATAAGATACTGGTCTCTGGTCTTGCGGAGCTGGATGAGGTCGGGCTTGATGCTGTTCATTCTCTTGTCGATCTCCCTGTAGTCTGCCGCCTGTTTCTTCAGATCTTCCTCCAGGCGCCGCTTGCTGTCTACAATTTCACTTATCCTTGATTTCAACTTTTCATAGTTTCCCAGGATCCTAAAAACAGAGTTTTGAACATAATTTAACATTTATATGCTGATGTTGCTTCCTTTTCGGGTGACATGCTAAAGTGTGGTGCATTCTTACCTCTGGATCTCTTTGTCGTTGCCTTCTCTCCTGAACTTCTCAATATACTCCTTGCTGTACCGCTCTTGTGTTTGGCATTGCTCTTCAAATATCTTTATAGTTTCATTAAAAGCCTCGATCGCTGTCCTTTTCATTTGGATTTCCTGGAACCAGAGCCACAGTATTAGTACAAATACTGGAGTAGAAATCTTGATGTTAACCTGAAGTTTTTTTTATTTATTTATTTCCTCTGAACTGTCAATCACATTTAGGAAGATGTTTTCAATGTCAGAGTGTCAAACAACCATGATTTCACTGTTGACCAAAATAATTTTTTTTGCCATAGCATGACCCTAGTTGACAGCGGATGACACTCACTTGTGATGTTCGCGTGTACTCTTCATACAGACGGTCGTACTCTTTGTTCTTCTCCTGGTACTGTTGGTGGTACTCACAGAGCTTCCTCCCCACAGCTTCGATATTGTCTTCTTTCACCACTTGATCCTGAGAATGAGTTAATCAGTTGCTGTTAAGCTGCTTTAGTCTAAACACTTTAAACATGCTGGTAGACTGAGCTGTCTTACCTGCTGGTGTTTGGAGACTGGATAGAGCAGCTTGACATCTAGCTTGGGGTTGTACTGAGCCAGTGATTCGTTGCGATAGTGGTTGATGAGCTCGACAACAGAGCTGAAGGTCAGAGGGTCTGAGAAGCCGTACTTCCCATCCCGATGGAATATTTTAATGAGTTTGTTGTTGCCTCCTTTCCTGCAGATAGAACAAAGGAAAGCAACAAACTGGTTAAATTAAATGCTCAAATTACCATAAATCAACAGCTCAGCGATTTTCTGACAGAAAGGAGGAAGGAGCTTACCTCAGAGTCAGAGTGTAGTCTCCGTGCATTTTCGTTGAGGCGTCTCGCACCAAAAACGTACCGTCCGCAGTGTCCCTCAGCTTCTCATTGACCTCCTCCCTTGAGATATCTCCCCAGTACCATTCAGCATCTTGTAGAGCCATGTTGTTCATACCGTTGTTAGTCACAGATGTGGGCTTAGGTGGCTTTGGAGGTAGAGCTGTGAAGACAAGAGAATACAGAAGGTAAATAAATATGCTGCACTGCTCATGTTACATTAAACATGAGAACTTTTTCTGGATCAATAGTCATTGAGGCTTTTGAGCTTCACTGAAAATATTTATTTTCCCTTCTGTGAAGCTGCTGACTGTAACACTATATTCCAATGCGACACCCACGACAGTGTTGTTTCTGTAAGAGAATCAAGCATTTTGCAGATCCTGTGATTTACAGTCTCTCTCATCCTTTTTTCCACTGTAACAATGAGGCAGGGGAGCAATGAAGTGTGAGTCAGGGAGAATGAATTTCTCCCTGCATGAAAAAATGTGCTGTAAATAAATATTTCTAGCTGCACATACAGTGATGTAACCTTCTATTTACATGCACACAAAATGACTGCCAGGATGAACTGATTTCATTCATCACAAAACCACGAAAACAAAGGTTGAAACAGATACAGTCAAATACCCAGCTACCCATTCTTCTGCATGCAATGTTGAATAATAATTCCGTTTAAGATTATTATCATCACAATCCGAACACTAAGTCTCCTTTTCCTATTGCATCACTGACAGATTTGATTATGTCTATGGTAACAGAGATCAGGACAAACCCATTCAAAACATTGCAACTGCGGGCATGAATCTATAGAGAATCTTAAAGCCGCAATGGTTGTTCACATGCTGACAGTTTCGCAGCGCAGCTAGCAGAGCTAAGGCATCAGGCTATTTTTAAACCATAACTCTGCACTGCCTTTGTTCACTCCTGCACTAACACGCTTTCTGCTGCAATGGAGGATGTAGCTTATCAAGAGCACAAGCACCACTCACTTTCCATTAAGTCTAACTGTGGCGTGGCATAAAAGGCAGAGAGCACAGATCCAGTCCAGTAATTTCACCACAGCACATGCTTTCCTCTGCACATCAACCTGATCACGTTTCATGTCCAGATTACAGGAATTTCTAATTCTTAAGACCAGCCATGAACAATCTTGTCTTCACAGTAACTTGGCAACAGCGCCACACATTTTTCTACAGATGGACAGCTTGTATTTGTCTGCAACAATCCCTAATAAAGCAGTGTTTTCATACAACCACCGAACACCCATTTGAAAAGCCATTAAATGCAGCCTGCTCGGTAACTTGTTACATCACTTACCACAGCCAATCACACTGGGGGTCTGTCACCAACTGCTCCTGCATCTTAATTTTCTGAGAACGATGGGATCATTTGGAAATCCCATTTACCTTTTACCTCCCTGCTTCAATTCCATGGAAAACTCAAGTCATTATTCTCTCTGCAGCACCGAGCACTATGTCCTAGTATGCATCCATTTTACAACCAAACATGCAGTCCACTTGCAGGGGGGAGGGCCTGCAGCCTGGTCCATGCTTTTCCTCTGTCATCCTCTCTCTCTGCTGAGCTTGGCTGCTCACTCTCCTGCAGGTTGCTCAGCCCCTCCCCTCTGCATGTGTCGTGCTGAGGTTTAGTCCGTCCCACTCCTGGCACTGTGACAAAGCCAGCTCTGCTGCAGCAGCACGTAGGCAGCTGAATTATAATGCTTGGACTGGTCAGCAGCACTCGGTGCTCCAAAATATGCCTGTAATCCCACAGTGTGACACTCGGCATGACAGAGTTAGCTCCCTTGACTTCCTGAGTGAACATAAAATAGACCTAGTTCCTGGTAGGGTATAAGGATTCAGTCATTGTCCTTCTAGGCTCAACTGAGAAACAGTTGTTGGAACTGCTTAACACAAAAAGAAAAACATTTAAACTACAAATCAGTGTTTTAGAAAAAAAAAAACCCATTTAAATGACAGATGTACATAAACAAGCCTGCTAAATGGCTTTAAGAATTTTAAGGAAACACCAGTGTTTGTAAATTACTTTCTATATGGTTTCAAACACTCATTTCTCTGCTGTAGCCACACGCACAACCTGTTGGGATGTTTTGTGGCCTCTTTCACTGGTAGGTCTAAACTGAAAGCCTACACAGTACTCTCAAGAGTCATGAACATCCCTCACAGCAATGCAGAGTTATATATGCAGGCTCTAAGAATAACTTTAACTATACAAGATGAGCAGTAGCGCTAGGCAAAATTGTTTGCTACAGCTATGCCTGGAGGCTAAAAGGAAAAACTATAATACTCATTCTGTTTTTCTCTTAAGCTCTGTGGTATTTGTCTTATTTTTCTTAATGTACTGTAGCCTGGGAGCAGAAGCAGTAGAAACAGTTCCCATCTGGTATGCCAGTTTAAAAAAAAAAGATGCAAAACAAACTTACGTTGCAAGTTGTGCATGTTTTTGAAGATCAATAGTCTCTTTGTAGCTTCTTTTAATCCAAGAAGGTAAATTAGATCCACCAGAGTAACTTTCAAGTGCTCCAGTAATGCTCCATTTCATAGTTTAGGCCATAGAGAAACTGGATGTGGCTTGTTTTAATTCATAGAAGGTTTATGTGCTTCTTAATGAAATCCAGGTAATCTCCTTGGTGTGAGGCAGGTGCACATGTGACTGTCTAGCTGACTGTTCAGTTCCTGCCGCGTCTCTCTCTTTCTCTTTCTGAGGCCTGCTTGTGGCGAGGCAGAGAGTTAATGATTACTATTAGCTGCTCTGGTGTCAGTGCTGCCTGGGCTGAAAGCAGCCACTCATGCCCGTGACTGTCTAGCTGACTGTTCAGTTCCTGCCGCGTCTCTCTCTTTCTCTTTCTGAGGCCTGCTTGTGGCGAGGCAGAGAGTTAATGATTACTATTAGCTGCTCTGGTGGCAGTGCTGCCTGGTCTGAAAGCAGCCACTCATGCCACCTCTCTCTCTCTCTCTCTCTCTCCCTCCCCGTCTCTTTGGTCACTCCCTCTCTCTGTTTGTAAAGGAGGATGCGGGGGGGGGGTGTTTCGGTCTTATGATTAACTTGCAAAGTTTCAAATATTTGCTGAGCTGGGTACTTTGAGGCAGGGAGGACATGGAGATCCAAGCTGAGGGAGGACAGAGGTGTGGGGGGGGGAGGCTCTAGAAACTGGAAGCAGCTCTCAGTTAACAAGAATTGCTCTGTGGAGCAAGCCGACTTTCCAGCCAACCAAATCTAAGTGGGCCTTTTGTCGCTCACTTAAAATAGGCACACAGTAACTGGGAGGAGGCACGCAGACACCCCAACACACACAGGTCATTCACTGAAACAAGTACAGACCAGGTACATGTGTGTTTATAGAGTAAGGTATTCCTCATCTCTTGTCTTGGGACCTTGTTATTATCTGTACGAGACAGGAGACCGAAACCGGTTTGGCGCACCTGAGCTTTGCTGTAGGTTTGACACGGTCCTGTGTTTATGTGTGTATAAAAAGAACTGAAAGCCTTTAAACTGATGTCCATCTACCCATCTCTCCTACTGCCAAAGTGCTCCTGCAGGTGCAAATTACTGACAGCTGAGAGCAGGCCATGCACAGGGACATTATAAATAACCCCAAAAGGTAATAAAATGTTTCAACAGTCACAGCCAATCCCAGACCTCTGGGCCTTTAACTAGCACTATAAAACACAATGGTGCCACACAGTGCAATGCACCCACACCACCATACTAGCTTTATCTATGTAGACCATCACGGTACCAGACATGAAGGCAGACTTTGTGCAGCTCTAGATGCCAGAATATCAAACTACGTTTTTATCAGTAGGTTTCACTTTGTCTTCATTCCTTCACGATCATATGTCAAATGGAAATTCACCACTAATCACATTCTTGATGCTCAGTTTTCAGCTAAATTCAAAAGCCACGCAAACACTGTCACAACATTAGACAAAATTCTATGACGGATTCCTTTGGAAGCCTTATACATAACTGTACCATTTCATTAACTGAACAACAAGGTCAAAAGCAGAAACAGCCTCCACAGCTAAAGCTTTAGACACTGTGCAACCAAACCATTTCACTGTTCCATAACAAAGACCTTGCCTGTAAAAACATCACTGACCAGTACATGATAACGGTCGTAACTTCCATTCATCTAACAACACTAGTACGTTACCAGCCCAGTACTGTGTACCCTGGGGCCCTCTACCACTGCAGTAAAGGGCACAAAACTGTATTTTTAAAAAATAAAATAATGTTCAGCCAAGCAGAATAGCATTTAAAACTCTGAATAAATGAAGTACAAAATTGAATGGTTTAATTACCTGGAGCAGCCTGACTTTCACTCCATTCACTGGTCACCAGAACCTCAATGATCTTGATGTGAATATCCAGGCTGGGTTCACAACTGTGGAAGGAGAAAGGAACGTTAAAGTCTGTGTTTTACTACCCAGCTGACAGTCTGTGCCGCTCTGTGCTGGTTTCAGTCTGATGATATTTCAGGCTTAGCTACTTTAATTGCGCAGCACAGCTGCTTAAGTAAAAAAGCTCCAACCCATGAACAGCTAAAACCATGAGTGTCTGACTGTGTGTGAATGTGCTTGTATATGAGTGGGTGCTGGCCTGAATGCGAGTCTGGAAGTGTGTATTTCTGAGTCTGTGTGTGTCAGTACTATATGACTGAGCCTGCATGCTTGTCTGTCTGCTGGCTAAGTGTTGCAGCGATGCTTGAGCCTCGCTGCTCTGACACCCACCTGGTGGCCTGTGGTCTGAAAAACACAGGGCTGAAGATCTCGCCAAGGGTTCTAGCACTGAGCAGGTTCTTAGAGCCACTTTTGCACACTCTGGTGAAATGCCTTAGCAGATGCTGGAGAGTTAGCCAATACTGCGGAGGCAGGCTGGGAGTGCTGGCAACACGACGCAGCAGCTGGGCACATTCCTCGGGATTCACCACCTCTGTTGAAACATGACAAGAATGGCTGAGAGGTCAGCAAGACAGATGTGAGAAACCGATCACGTGTCAGATCCTGTCTAAGTGAAAGAGCAGCACAAAATGAAAGATGTTTCTTTGAACACTAAAGAGATGGAAAAAAAGTCTCATGTGCAGTTAGGTGACAACCACATAGGCTGTCTGTCTGACAGTGAGCGTAAGGTACACTGACAGGTGATTGGCTGCTCAGAGATGCTAGAGATAAACGCTCAGGCTTGTTTTAGTTCCTATTAACCGCAGATATCCTGTTTCTGGCCTTGTGACTGCAAGAAAGTGCATTGCTTCAAGCTGTGTGTGGTGTGAGAATTTTGTCTGTGCTTGCAAAAGAAAAAGCAAGACAGACAAGGGTAAATGACAAAATAAACAGATTTATCATATTGTATGTTACACTTAGAAAAGGCACAGACACACAGGATAAATAAAAACATAAAAAGTCTTTTTGAGAGCCACGGGGTGTTGATGAGGTCTTGTGGTTTAGTATACTAAAGCACTGAATGTTCAACAGCACAGCAGGGGTGCATGACATCAGCACTTCTCTTTGACGCCGACTACAATAAACAAATGAATGTTGAATCTGCACTGATGCTATCTGCTCTTACCTTTGGCAGTAAGGACCATCTGAGGGTATAGTGAAGTGGGGATAATGGGCTGTGGAAGATCCTGCAGGTACCTGCGCAGACCATCACACAGGACCGAAAGTTCTAACTGGTCCAGGTCTGTTGAGGGAGGATCTGAAATGCAAAGCAATGCACAGAAAGGATTACATACTACAACTCATTCCAGTACAATGGAATCTTTAATTACAAGCTTAGGTAGAACATGCTAAACTACATCATGCACAGGTAAATACAACCTATGGGGGCAACAGTGTCTTTACAAATCATGGTCCCTTCTGGTCTTTTTAACAAAGCCTGTATGCACGCGCGCACACACACACACACGCGGCCTCACACATTTAGCTACACACTACTTGCATCATTCATTTATTTGTCTGTGTGACAGACAAATAGTGACAGAATGTACTTGCATCATTCTGTTCTGTATTTATCACCATCATTCAGTGGACCTTCAGGTTTCAGGAATGGAATAAAAAAAACTAATAAACAAAAACAAACAAAACTACTCACCACAATCAAAATACTGTCGCACTTCAAGTCCAGCACCAGCGGTGAAAGTTCGATATAAAGTGGGGTTATCCAGACCTGAAAATAATCAGTGACACACAAGTCATTGCATGCGCTGACAATCAACTAAACAAGTTGGTTCCTGTGGTTCTATAGAGGAAGGGTTGTTGTTCTCAGGCAAAGTGAAAAGTGCGGCTGCACTACTTATCCAGGTTTCCTCCATCAAACTCACCTTTTCTCTCAATAGCCTCCAGCAGTTTGACCAGCATGGCAGGAGCTGTGTCTGGGAGGGAGAACTGCTCTGTCAAGTCCAGCAGACAGAGGCCTGGAGGAGAAAACAACAACTCATCAACCAAAATGATTCTGAAAGGAGAACAACTGGCTCTCATGTACTTCTGGGTTGCACTGTCTTGTGGGTTTGATAGAATATGATTATCTAGATTCTGACACACATTGCCTAATAGAAATAAGCTGTCATCATATAAATAGGGTCAAAGTATCATGGGAATATTGCTTTTAGGTGTAATGGTATTATGGGGACAGTAAGCCGCCATGGCAGAGGGCTGACCTGAGTGCTACATTTATTTTCATTGCATATAATTCTGATTATTTTCTAGCGTAATCATCTTTTTATTCTATAAAATGTCAGTGGCAATGGTGGAAAACAGTACAATTTCCTAAAGCTCAAGGTGATGTCTCTAAAGAAGTGGTTTTATCAAGCACTCCAACATATAAAATACAGGTTTATTAACACAGATGACAAGAAAACCTACAAAAAACACCAATTAAGGTGCTCAAACTATGAAATGTTTGGTATTTTTACTTGAAAAACCACTGATTACCTATTATCAAGATAATTATTTTAGCAGTTTACACTACAAGGCTGTATTATTTTTAAAGTACTCTTTAGGTGGATGAGGTGAATACTGATGATTAACTCATTCTGTTCAAGTTCCATTTAGCCCATCAACAGAAATGCAGATGGTGCAAGAGTAACGACTCATTCATTGACGGCTATGAATGATTTTATATACACACAAAGTTCATTAAAACTCTCCCACAGTAGGGGAAGTACCGACAAGCGCTGTATGAATGACCATTACACACAGACTAAACGACACAAGTTATCCTTCAGGCTGTAATGAAAACAATGGCTCTCAGGGGATTTCACTCGGCCCATTTCTTTATGAGGTGAGTGTTGACAGTGAATGTGTTTATGTAGAACTTAAGTCAATTCAGAGAACAGAATGTTAGCAGAAATAGAAAAGTGACAGAAATTAATGGACTGCTACTCAAATCTAATGTCTTTTGTCAGTTACCAGAAGCTGTGAATGTTCATGTGACGTTAAACCGTGAGGGCTGCAATTCATCTGAACCAGCAAAGGTTGATTAGGTGCCTGACTTACGAACTGTTTAGAGGTTCAAAGGACGCAGGTACAAGACTAAAGGACTGGCTTCAAAAGAGGAGGTGCTGAGCACGTCAGTTAAAGTTTGCTGGACCAAGGAGCTAAACAACAGCAGAACTAAATACCCCGTGATTTAAGGAAAGCCAGGTCTTTGACTTTCTCCCTCAGTTTTCCTTTAGAACTTCGCACACAGGTGGGGATGTGAAGGACGAAGAGGTTGGCTAAGATTTTATTTGGATTTGCAAAGGTTTATTTTGAAATGGCACTTTTCTGAAAGGCTCAACTGTTCAACAGTGTGCAGCTTCAAAATGCTCACAAACTATGAATGAAACCCTTTCTCATAGCTATATTTTTCTACCTTAAAAATGACTACAGGTTTTGAACCAGGCATTAAAATGTGCAGCTGCTGGTGCCACTGATTCATGCATGCTAGTCACCAGAGGAACTACCCACCTCCTCCAAAGACTGAACCACTTCATCTGTCCGAATCCTCTCTGGCCAGCTCAGCTAACAGGTTGGCATGTTGCGTGTGAAGAACATGGATTACCAAAGTATTTCTAACCACAGAACACACACGCCTCCATGTAGGACAAGTGGTTATCTGGAAGACATTACTGGAATGGCCAAACAGGAGGGGGGGTTCTTAGAAACAGTGAACTCTGAGATGGAACACTAAAGTTTCTATAAATAGACATGGAGACACGCAGTGCTGCCATCGCACACCTTCTCCCAGACATAACATGGCTGCCATCCTACTGCCAACCTTTTTCTGAGAATCTCAGATCACAACCTTAAATTTAAAAGCTCGACCCGCTGTTCTGTCTATGAAAATTACTGCAGTATCTTAGGGTTCCTGGTTTTAATCAAGATAACATTTCTTACATAAAAATGGCATTTTGTGCACAAAAAGATGAACTGCTAAATGAGCTGCCTTAAATCACGACAGTCTCTAAAACTGATCTGAAAAGGTGCAATCTATGCAGCCCCACTGCAGTTTATGGGAGCGTTAGGATGGTTAGCTGACAGAGCTAATGCCAGCTAACAGATGGCTGCCTATATGCAGGTGGCAAATGAAAAGACAACCAAACACAGAGTCTCAGTGAGGTGCTGGTCATCACAAGCCACCAGAACAGCTCCACCTTGGCACTGACTCTCCAAGTCTCTGAACTCTCCTGGAGGGATGAACACCGTTCTTCCAACAGATGTTCCCTCATTTGGTGCTTTGATGACGGTGGTGGAGACGCTGTCTAACACGTTGCTCCAACACCTCCGATGGCTGATCAACTGGGCTGAGACCTGGTGACTTGGAAGGCTACCGTGTCTGGTTCACATGTTCATCCTGGAGGAGACCACTCATTTAGTCAGGGTTTCCTTTCATTGTCACCTGCATCAGGCTGATGTCTTGTCAACACAGGGCAAATGAATTAATGAGGAGACTATCAGTTCTGTCCTGTCTGTGCTCAAAGTGATCATTACAGTCGATGTCTGCACTTAACTGAACGTCTGCTACTGACCGTCCATGCACAGCTGTACAGGGTCAGATTTATTTATTTTTTTTTTTTAAAGCATAATAATACCTTTAGATGTTTTCAAAAAATTTTTTTATTCTTGCTCAACTATTTTTCACATTTAATCCTTGGTCCAGTTTTATAACTGGAAATATGTTCACAGTTTAATCTATATTGTGCACTTTACAGAATTTTATAACAGAGGAAACAGCGTTGCTCACATGCTGAATGTAAGAGTAATACAAGCTACTATGATAAACATGTTGAGGAACATGTTGTCCAAATTTGTCAACTGAAATTGAACTGAGAGATTAGTGCCAACATCTACTAGAAAGCAACATATTCAACACTCAGGACACTGTTAAAAGCATGCGTCTTAAAACAAGAAGATTCTTAGAAGTGATCTGAAGGTTTGTTTCTTTACTCTGTCCATGACACAGGACAGGCTAGAGATAGAGTTGCTTCTTGGTAATGTCAACAAGGCGATAGGTTCAGCACCAATGGAACTGTATCAAGTGGCAGACTAAATATGTCAGAAATGTTGCAAGCTACCTGCGATGACTTCTGAGATGCTTTCGCACAAGATCAAACAATCAACATGCTCCAACTGGCAAAGAGTAGGCAGCTCTCACCGCTACAGACAAAAATGTACAGCTGATTTTTTTTTTTTACCACATCCTTCCTAACTGCTAATGGCATGAGATGAATGTAGTTTCAAAGAATCATTAGAAGACCCGGCTCTAGCTCACTCTGAAGGGCCAGTCACACTCAAAAACACTTGTATTAGCACTCTAAACAGGCTATAATCAGTTTCTGAAATACATTAAATAGTCCTCTTTGTACTACTGCAGTGTTACTATAGTAGTAATACACAGTTTCCTTGATAAGTTTAGAACAGCTGAAGGGCTTCACACACCATGAGACTTGCTTTTTAAATGGAAATTTCTGTGGCAACTTGGGCAAAGAGGGCACGCAGACAGGGGCCCCTCAGACATGTCCCTACAAGCCTGCATGTTTGGCTGACTTTCTTCAGCCAGCCAGTAAGTCAGTCAGCCACAGGTCAAGGAAGTTGATGCAGCTGCCACTGGTGCTGCCATGGTGTGGGGGACAATCTCCCCAGATTGGTATGTCTGAACCGAGCAAACTTCAGACTGTGGGCAGGACAGGCTGGGGCACCATGGGCACACTAAATTTATCCAGAGTGTGCACTATCTTTAGAGGCCCTATATCATTTCTTCTTGCCTGAAAAAGGTCTAGCTGAGGCGCAGCAGTAAAAATGTGATAACCCATGGAAAGAATGTCACACCAAAACACATGTGACAGTACATTAAAGAGTGTTAGTACAAATAACAAGTGTACAAAGTGGACATCATATACAGTACTGTTTATGAAAAAGGCTGCAACCGATGTGCTAACACTAAAGTATCATTCAGATTTTACAGAACAAAGACTGACAACAAAAAAATGCAGAATTCTTTATCAAAACATTTGTAGGGGGAGCACCAACATGCTTTAATAATCATACTAAGGCTGTATTAAGTAGGAAAGTGCAGGCAATGTCTCCCCCTGCAGGCTAGATGATGCAGTGCAAAAGCTAATAACAGCCAATGAGGAAACTGTTGCTATAGCTTGACAATTAACCCTATAAAGAGCAGACCATCAAACATGTGAGGGCGGTTTCCTGATGTGCAGCTGACAGAGAGCCGGGATTCTGGCCACATACTGACACACATAAAAAGTAATTACTGCTTAAAAACTATTTTTATGTGCAACAGTTCAAAGGCTCTTTAAATTAAATCAAAATGAAATTCAGAGAGATACGTGAGCATAAACGTGAAGGCTGAAAAGTTGCCTGCCAGCTTGGATCAGTGAGTCACACTTGGACAGTGTTCAGTGCTGGTCATACTATCCATGAGTGATTTCAACCATTTTCATCTTCAGCTCTAGCTTTTGCCACAATGCAGATTGATTCTTATTACAATGCTTCACTTTGAAAGTATATAATGGTCCTGACCTGATGCAGTGGTGACATACTGGATATACAATATTTAAAAAAAAAAAGCTCACATCAAATTCACTTTTACTAGCAAGTAGAATATGTACAGAGGTATTTTCCATGTGCCCTGGCAGAGAGTGTGTAGTCTGGCAGCACACATGCTAAACATACCAGTAAATATGATGCGAGAGGCCGTTTGTGAAATCATACTAATGAATGACAGAGACAGTAACTATACAGTCATTTCCATAGTTGACTATGTAAGCACCTCAATATGAACATTTCCAAGTTGTACCAAGGCGATATCATCTTGCACCTTTGGTGGTACGAGAGAAGTGAGCCATTTAACCGCAATTATTTCAAGATGTGTAAATGTCAAGCAGTGCATGCATATTAAGAGGAACAAGAAGTGAAG